GAAACTCCATGTGTAGAAATCTTTGCCGTCAAATGCGGTAGTAGTCTTGATTTTCAAAACACTGAGGAAGCGTGCTTACGAAGAGTTGATGACTTCATCGCTTGGACGGGGGGCAGTTGTTGTTGATTCGTCTATGTCGAGGGAGAAGGTGTGCGCGGCGGTATCACGGCCTTTCGTAGCCGGTTGTCTAGGTTGAGCTGGTTGGGAAGAGGTTCCCGCGTCGCCTTTGCGCAGTTCTTGGAGTTCTTTCTCCATAGTAGAAAGTCGAGCGAATAGTTGCTCGAGTGCAGCAGTGCCGATCGTAGTTGTCGCCTCATTTGTCGTAGCTGGGTTGGTTTGTCCTTCAGCCGTCAGGTTTGCTTGGCCTCCGGATCCTCTGGCCATCTTGGTCTTGGAGCGTGTGCCGCTCGCCAGATCTTGGTTCGGCGAATTTCACGGAAGTGAAGGTGCGAAGAATCCCTGAGTAGCTCTCAAACCATTTTACAATCCCAAGTGGGACTCAGCGAAGGATCGCTCAAGGTTGATCGCAGTCTAGAGTTGCAGCAGAAGTTTGAATCTCAGGTCAGAGTGAATGTAAATGACTTAGTTAATAAAAGTATGCATAAATCGGGTATATATAGGAGTACGGAGGAATACGAAAAGACCTAGGCTAGCCATGTGAGAAGATTGAAACGAGAATGAATGAACTATGAATGAACTGAGTACAAGTACTAACCCTAATTGGGTTGTACCCCTTATGGGCTACCCCACTATAGCCTACACAATAAGCACAAGCTATATGTTCTGACACACCCCCATAGGCAAAGTGGGGGAGAACAAGGGGTCACAAGACCAGTCAAGCAAAGCAAAGCAAAGCAAGCTCAGGGTGGATCACAAAGTCACCACACATTCTGAGCACAAGTTCAAGGCCACAAGGCCAGTTCACATGCAGGAGTACATATATATAAAGGAATAGACAAGCAAGAGCAGGTGTATATATATGCAATAGTACAAGCAAGGTCAAGAGGTGAGCAAGTGAGGCAAGACAGGCACAAGACCCACCTGCGTGCAGAAGCGCTGATGATCACAAGGCGCAAGTGCCTTGGTGAAGACATCAGCAGCGTTGGCCTCAGAGGCCACGTACGCAAGCCGCAACTGACCATGCTGCTATAGCTCACGAGCAAGGAAGTAGCGAAGAGCAATGTGCTTTATTCTGTGCTCCAATCTCTGCTCTCGACACAAGGCCAGCATGGCCTTGTTGTCTACGTACAGGACTGGAGGAGAACGAGGCGACTCTCCAAAGTCGGCCAGCAGGTAGGTGAGCCAGCAAAGCTCCTGTGCAGCCATGGCCCCAGCGTAGATCTCAGCCTCACAACTGGAGCCGAGAACAGAAGACGAGCGAGTAGCCCGCCACGAAACAGAGACGGAACCAAGGCTGAAGGTGTAACCCTGTGACGACCGCTGCGTAGCCTGGTCGTCGGCCCAAGAAGCGTGCGCGTGACCAGTGAGGACTACTGGACTCCGCCCTCCAAGCACTAGCCCCATGCCCGACGTACTGCACAAGTAGCACAACACCCTCTTCGCTGCAGCCATGTGCTCTGGTCGGTGTCTCCCAGGAGCAACATAGCGTGCGAGAATGCTAAGAGGGTATGCAAGGTCAGGTCGTGTGCAGGTCATCAGGTACATGAGGCAGCCAACAAGCTCTGGATACGGGCCACTCGACTCTACGGACTCATCCGAAGGCAGAGCTGAGAGCGAGTGGCGAGTAGGCAGAGGAGTGGCCTGAGGCGAGGAGTACGTGAAGCCGAAGCGCTGGAGGACCTGCTGCACCATGTGTGACTGAGTCAGGGTAATGGTGCGGCGTGCTCTGTCCCGGGTGATCTGCAAGCCAAGGTAGCTGCGCAGTTCACCCAGGTCTGTGCACGTGTGTCTCTTCTGCAGCTCGGACTTCACGTAGGCGAGTCTAGCAGTGTCAGTTGTGGCAAAGACCAAGTCGTCGACGTACACGAGGATGTAGAACGGCGGCAGAGAAGTGTCGGTGCGCAGAAACAGCGACGGGTCGGCAGTAGAAGGAGCAAACCCAAGAGCCGCAAGCGTAGTCCTCAGTGTGTCGTGCCACTCACATGGCGCCTGGCGGAGACCGTAGACTGGACGCCGGAGACTCCACTGGGTACCAGGAGGGAAAGACCCAGTGAAGCCAGGTGGGCGGCGCAGCCAGATCTCCTCGTGCAGGCTGCCCTGCAAGAAAGCTGTGCTGAAGTCAAGAGAGTGCAGCTCGTAGTCACGGTGAGCAGCAACGTGCAGTAGTACCCGAAGAGTGGTCATCTTCGGGGAGGGAGAGAAGGTCTGAAAGTAGTCAACTCCCTGCCACTGACTGAAGCCACGAGCCACGTAACGCGCCTTGAAGACAGGTGGAGAACCCGGCGGCCGCTTCACCCTGAACATCCACATGCCACTGACGATGTTCGCCCCAGGAGGGGGGACAGCGTCAACGTAGGTGCCTGTGGACTTCCAGGAAGCCATCTCTGCATCCATAGCTGCCTGCCACTGAGAAGATTAGGGACCCTCTATTGCCTCCGCGTAAGACCGCGGAGTCGGGATGTCAAGTGCATCCGGGTCTCCCTCAGGGGTAAGCAGTACGGACACGAGATGAGGTGAAGCAGCGGCCAAGCACTGGAACTCCTCCTGCCTGTCCTCAAGGACGTCCGTGCCAAGGGCACACTCACCCCCGACGGATGGAGGACAGACAGACTCAGACTGAGCGACAAGACTAGCCGCGTAGTCTAGGTGACAGCGAGCAGCAAAGTCGACGAGCTCAGCAACTAGGGCAGACGCAGCAGTGGACTCGAAAGAAGGGTTAGTGACGACAGTAGCCAGGAGTCGCGTGACAGTAGGACTGACAGCACAAAGAGAGTCCGACTCCGGGTCGGCAAAAGCAGGAAGAGAGGACTCAGGAGGAGAAGGCAAAGGGGCACGCAGAGGAGCAGTGGATGGACGCAGAGACATCCTGTGCGTGCCAGGGACAGGAGGACGCTGACGCGAACCACGACCACTAGCGCGAGCAGCACGGACAGGCGACGCAGGTCGAGACGCAGGCTCACGACGCTCAGTAAGACCTCCAGTAGGACAAGTGTAGGGAGAAGGAGCAGGCAAAGGGGAGGTAGGCTGCAACTGTAACTGTAACGGGACTGGCTGTGGACACCCTAAAGAAGGAGGAGGACCAGTAGAAGGCGGAAGACCAAGAACCTGCTACAGGAGTGGAACGAAGTACGGTCGAGGCCGCGCGGCGACGCCAGACACAGCAGGTACAGCACCAGAACCCCCAGCAGGAGCACCCGCTCCAACTGCACCTCCAGTAGCGCCAGAACCTCCAGCAGTACCAGGAGTACCCGCAGTAGGACCGCCAGCAGTAGTCTCAGCTCCAACACCCTCAGCAGCACCAGCTCCAGTCGAACCCGCAGGCCCAGCAGCTCCAGTACTCCCAGTACGAGCACCTCCGGGACCCGCGACAGCAGCACCCTCAGTAGCCGAAGAACCTCCAGCGCCGGGCAAACCACTCGCGCAGCTCCCGTGGAGAGAGTGGCTCACGCAGAGACGAAGCACCCGGAGAACCTCCAGGCGGAGCACCTCCAAGCTTAGTACCCCCAGGCTCAGCACACCCAGGCTCAGCACCCCCAGACTCAGCACCCCCAGGCCCAGCACCCCCAGGCGCAGCACCCCCAGACTCAGCACCCCCAGGCTCAGCACCCCTAGTCTCAGCACACCCAGGCTCAGCACCCCCAGGCTCAGCACCCCCAGGCTCAGCACCCCCAGTCGCAGCACCCCCAGAGTCAGCACCCCCAGACTCAGCACCCTCAGCAGCACCAAAGTCACCAGCGACCTCAACAGGCTCGACTGCGTCTACATGGGACACACTTGAAGGGGACGGACCCTGAGTGGGGAGGGGGTCTACCGGAGGGGGACCTGGTACAAGGAAGAGCGGCGGCGGGGGGAGGGACGGAGTGCGGTAGGGGAAGAGGCGGTAGTAGGGGACCGACTCGTCAAACGTGACGTCCTGGGAGGAAAGAACACGGCGAGAGGTGGGGTGGTAGAACTGCCACCCAGGCGCGTCAGGGGGGAACCCTAGGAAGATGCAAGGAGCAGCACGAGGGGATAGCTTGTCCGCAGACAAGTCGCGGACAAACGCCCGAGATCCCCAGGCCCGGAACGCTGACGCATCGCCAACCTTTCCCGTCCACACCAAGGCTGGGGAGGTCTCCGGCCTGGAGACCCTGGGGTGTAGGTTGATCTGATGCGCCGCATACCTCACCGCAAACGGCCACAGAAAATGGGGAGCAGCCGCATGCATCATAGACGTACGAGCGACGTCCATGGCCATGCCAATGCGGCGCTCAGCAATCCCATTTTGCTGCGGGGAGTCCGGAAGTGTGAAGGTCTGACGGATTCCTCGTGCGCGACAGTAGGCTCTCAGAAGGCCAGAAGAAAACTCTCCGCCTCTGTCCAAGTGTAGACGCAGAACAGGAAAGTCCGAGCCAAAGCTCTGCCTCAGCTGGAGACGAGCTGCGCGGATCCAGTCGATCAGCACCTCAGTAACAGCACCCTTGCTGCGCAAGGGGAAGACTGCGGTGTAACGTGAGTAGTCGTCAACAACGAGCAGGAAGTAGCGCTCGTGACCCTGTCCACGGACGCGGGCTGGGCCCCACACGTCCATGTGAAGCGTCTGCAACGGGGCCTCTGTCGGAGGAAACTAGGAGGAGAGAGGGGCAGCCCGCTGGCGCCCTTCGACACAGGGGACACAAGTAGGGCCAGGGCCTTGAGGAAGAGGAGGTAGGGACCAAGGGAGACCAGAAACAAGAAGACGGGAGGCCATGCCTCTGAGCCGAAGCAGAGAGGGGTGACCAAGGCGGTGGTGCCAGAGGAGAGTCTCGTGAGACAGGAGACGACACGAACAGGGGGCAGACTCAGGACCAGACCTGGACGCTGCAGCAAACGCCTGACCCGACGCAGCGACCCTACCAGACTCAACAACTGGAGGAGACAGCATACATGGCAGAAAGAATAGCATCAAAATCAAGATCATAGATGGCAACACCCGCCCTAGACAGCTCGCCCCAGTGAGGGATCTCTGTGGCCTCCGGGAACTGGTGACGCCACGCGTCCGTCAGGCGGCCAAAGCAGCGCTGAGTGGGGCGCGCACCCCCATACTGCTCACCCGCACGGTCGCCGGTGCGTAGGACGTAGGTGCACGGACCAAAACCCCCACCCCGCTGGCGTGCAGTGTACCACTCACGGAGCTGCTGAGGGGACAGGGTCTCACGACCGCGCTGCTGCTGCTGGCGCGGACCACCACCGGAGCCTCTCCTCTGCGTAGACCCACGACCAGCTCCACCGCCACCCCCGCCGCCTCCGCCGCCTCCGCCGCCGCCGCTACTACCGCCGCCTCTGCCGCCTCCTCCACCGCCGCCACCTCCGCCACCTCCGCTCCCACCGCCACCGCCGCCGCCTCCTCCGTCTCCACTGCCGCCACCGACACCTCCACCCCCACCACCACTCCCACCGCCACCCCCACTCCCCCCGCCGCCTCCACCTCCACCTCCACCGCCCCCGCTCGCCCCTCCAGTGCCCCTGCCCCCCTTGCCCTTGCTAGAGCGGCGTCTCCCGCTAGGGGCAGACGCCGCACCGACCGACTCAAGACCAAGGAGGTCGGCCGCAGCAGCAGAGGCAACAGAGGGCAGAAGGGGGGAGGGGGAACACCCCTCAAAGATGGGGGTGCGCGGGTCACCACGAGAGGCCCCTACAGCGACTATGCTCTTCTCAGCCGCTAGGAGGGACTTCTCGAGGAGGTCAACAGTGAGAGTGGTGGGACAGACTGAGAGGAAGTGGTCCCTGACTACGCGAAGGGAGTCAGGGAGGCGAGTGACTAAGTAGTAGAGAGTGATGTACATGGGGGGGGGGTTCTTGGCGCAGAAGTCAGCAGGAAGCGCAGCGCGGTAGCGAGTGTCACTAGTGCGGAGGTGCGTAATGAGGTCAGCGACTGTGGGAAGGCAGCAAGGTCAGGGAAGAGGTACGGCAGCATGAGGCGGCTCAGTGCAGCAGTGGCAGGGGAGGAGTAGCGCGCAACTACAGCGTCGTACAAGGTCTGAGCACTCTTGTACTGACTAAAGTGCGCGCGCTCAGTGGTAGGAAGGTGGCGACGCACAGCAAGACGTGCAGCAGCATCGCGAGTGGCCCACTGTGAGCGAACGGTGGCGTCGGCATCGGCAGTAGGGGCAGGAGAAGCACCAGAGGTGAGGTCAAAGAGGGAGAGACCGTCTGCCCTATCGCACTGTAGGAAAAGCTGCAGGTCATCTACCCAGACGTCAAAGTCAATGGCCCGACCCTCAGCGTCAAAAGTGAGAACACTGGGGGTAGCCATGACAGCAGTAGACTAGCAACGCTAACTGTAGAGCAGGGGCAGTACGGTTACAGAGGCGCTGCGCTCACCAGACAGGGCGGTTCGGGCAGCTCGGGCGGCTCGGCAGCAACTGCAGCTCGGCGGCACCCGCGGCTCGGCTCCTCAGCTGCTCAGGCGGCTCGGGCGGCTCGGGCGGCTCGGGCGGCTCGCGCGGCTCGGGCGGCTCGGGCGGCGTAGCGGCGCGGGCGGCTCGGCTGCGTAGGCGTTCGGGCGGGGCCATAGGTAGGACGGCGGGGCCGGGTCGAAGGTAGGGCGACGGGGCCGGTGCGAAGGTAAGGCGACCGGGCCGGGGCTGGGCCGTAGGTAGGGCGACGGGGCCGGGTCGAAGGTAGGGCGACGGGGCCGGTGCGCAGGTAGGGTGACGGGGCCGGGGCCGGGCCGCAAGTAGGGCGACGGGGCCGGGTCCGGGCCGTAGGTAGGGCGACGGGGCCGGGGCCGGGTCGTAGGTAGGGGGACGGGGCCAGGGCCGGGCCGTAGGTAGGGTGACGGGGCCGGGTCGTAGGTAGGGCGACGGGGCCGGGGCCGGGCCGTAGGTAGGGCGACGGGGCCGGGGCCGGGTCGTAGGTAGGGCGACGGGGCCGGGGCCGGGCCGTAGGTAGGGCGACGAGGCCGGGCCGTAGGTAGGGCGACGGGGCCGGGTCGAAGGTAGGGCGACGGGGCCGGGGTCGGGCTGCAAGTAGGGCGACGAGGCCGGGGTCGCAAGGGGGGGCGACGGGGCCGGGGTCGCAGGTAGGGCGACGGGGCCGGGGCGCAGGTAGGGCGACGGGGCCGGGGCGCAGGTAGGGCGACGGGGCCGGGGCCGTAGGTAGGGCGACGGGGTCGCTAGGGTGACGAATCAGGGGCCGCTAAGGCGGCTCGACGAAGTCAGAGAGGGGAGCGCGACTCGGGCGGAGCGCGCTCCGGGCAGGAAAAAAAAAAGTTTCGACTTGGTGGACCCTAAGCACAGTTCCCACGAGGGAACCTGCTCGATACCATGAGAATATTGAAACGAGAATGAATGAACTATGAATGAACTGAGTACAAGTACTAACCCTAATTGGGTTGTACCCCTTATGGGCTACCCCACTATAGCCTACACAATAAGCACAAGCTATATGTTCTGACACCATGTACTCTAAGGGGTACATACCCTTATTACAGCGAATTCAAACCGTGCGGCGGGGGAACCCGTTCAAAACCTGTTCCCGCTCTTTTCACTTCGAATGTTTCTGCCTGCATCGGTCTTGGTCAGACGGTTGCTGCGTCGCTTCGACTCTTCTGACTCCTCGACTTCGTACTCGGTAGAGTCGGCTCCTGCAGCATACAGGAATGCCTTCTTATATAATTTCATATCGTAACGGACCTTCATGTGCATAGAAGTTTCCTCGATATTTCGTTTCTTTACACCCACCATCGAGGTTCAGTTTCGATAATGTACAGCGCGTTACTACATTGATCCTGACTTCTCGACCCTGAACAATCAGACTATATAACTTCCCAACACTGAGCAATCAGGGTTACGTTTTCCTGGAAAATATGCCCCCATAATCCAGGGGGGGATTTTTTCCCGGAATCAGGGAGGCCTAATTTGAAACGTCAGCCCTGATCACTGCATCTGAAATGATGGCGGAATTCGCTCTAGTTGGACTTCAGCGAACTGCATTTGAACGCGCCTTACAGTTCTCGCGAACATGTTAATAGAGGGTAAATCCACAAATCGCCGTGCGAAATCCAAGCCCCTGGGATTTGCTGGTCAATTGGCAGATTCCCTTCAGTCAGTCGTCTGACTGGCAGGCTATTTTGCGCATCAGTTTAGCCTGGCTACCGACAAATCGTCCCACCATTAGTATCTCCGACAGCTGATCTGTCTGTCACTCCCACCGTGAAATCGGACGGTCGAGATGCCGAAGCTGGTGCTTCACGGCACGGCGATTTCGCCGTACACGCGACGCGTGATCATGACGCTTTATGAGATGGGAGTGGAGGTACGAATATTAAGGAACGGATGTTTATGTATAGAGTTACTATTGTGTGTTCAAGTAATCGTGACGCAGTGCGAGATGATTACTAGACGGGAATGGATGTGTGTGGTTGAGCGTGGGTGACCGTCCCAGCCTAGTAGAAATGCATTCAGTACGAATTTCAGATAGCGTAGTACGCTTCGATCCGACGACAGAGGGGAGATCACGACGCGTTACGAAATGCGCGTGGAGATTATTTGATCACGGTCTCTCGTTACGAGATTCGCGTGGAGATTAGTGGATCATCGTCACGTGTTGCGACGTGATGAGTGCGTTGCGGAGTGATAAAATGATAACATGCACTGGAAGACTTCTGGGGTGCCTCCAAAGTGATAGTATGCTGCACTGGAAACAGGCATTCTCAACTGCATTGAGGCAGAAAACGCGCTTTCACATGTGTACAAAAGGAGGGTGAATGCATTGAGGCAGAAAATGCATCATGGGACGAGGGGAAGTGCGTGGAGGAGTGTTAGTATGCACTGAATACGGGCATCCTCAGCTGCAGTGAGGTAGACGATCACTTGGTGACTTTTGAGTCGACTCAAAAGTCACCGTGTTAGTATGCACTGAAAACGGGCATTCTCAACTGCAGTGAGGTTGACGGATCACTTGGAAATGCGCTTTCGCTTGCGTTCCGATCCATCCATGCATACTGGATCTTCGTTGTTCAGGTACTCGTGCGTTTCATTTAATCGTCCATGCATCTGGAAACCCTTTTTTTTTTTTCAGGATTTCGTGCACATTCCGGTCAGCCCACTCACAGGCGGCACCAAAACACCCGAATTCCTCAAGATACAGGTGACGTTCTCTCTGATCCCGTTTTTGTTCTGAGTGTGTGTTTGTATGCGTGTGCGCGCACGGGTGTGCATGTGAACAAGCCACTTGTTCAGTTGCATCCCTTTTACCTTTCCTTCTCCCTCTCATCACCCTCTCTTCTTCCTCTCCTCTCCCTCGTCTCTCCTCACACCCTCTCTCTTCTCCCTCTCCCCTTCCTTTCCTCTTTGTATTTCCTACCCCATCCGCCATGCATCCTCAGCCCTTCGCGCGAATCCCTGTGCTCGAAGACGACGGGCACGTCATTTATGGTATGTGATGCAACTGCCAACATCAGTATTGATCAGTGATACAAGGGGCGTGCGTCCTTCCCCATCCTCACTGCATCCTCAGCCCTTCGTGCGAATCCCAGTGCTGGAAGACGACGGGCAAGTCATTTACGGTAGGTGATGCAGGATGAGTGGTCAGGCTCTCCCTTTCCTTTCCTCTCCCTCTCTTCACCTCTCCATATCCTCTTCCTCTCCTCTCCATATCCTCTTCCTCTCCTCTCCATCTCCTCTTCCTCTCCTCTCCCGCTCGTCTACCTCTCCTCTCCCTCTCCTCTTCCTCTCCTCTCCATCTCCTCTTCCTCTCCTCTCCATCTCCTCTTCCTCTCCTCTCCATCTCCTCTTCCTCTCCTCTCCCACTCGTCTACCTCTCCTCTCCCTCTCCTCTTCCTCTCCTCTCCCTCTCCTCTCCTTCTCCTCTCCCTCTCTTCTCCCTCTCCTCTCCACCTCCTCTCCCTCACCTCTCCCTCTCCTCTCCCTCTCCTCTCCCTCCTCTCTCCCTCTCCTCTCCTTCTCCTCTCCCTCTCCTCTCCCTCTCCTCTCCCTCTCCTCTCCCTCTGCTCTCCCTCTCCTCTCCCTCTCCTTCGTCCTTCCTTCCCAATCCTCTGCGTCCTAAGCCCTTTGTGCGAGTCCCTGTGTTCGGTCACTCAAGGGCAGTGATTCAGGAACAGCCAGGTGGGCTGGGCGTCATCAAAAGAGCCTTGAATTGAAATCCCTTGATTAGCGTAGGAATATTACATGCATATCGCTTCTTTTTTTCGATAGATAGAACTCGCCTCATAGTCTTCTAAGGGTGAGCCGCGAGCGCAAGCAAACCAGTTTCTCTCCCCCTATGTGCCGTTCAGAGCTTCTCTCGTCACACTTATGGAAAACATAGCTGAGTCAACCGCATTATTCAGAAGCACAAGGACCAGAGCCGAACCTTTGTGCCTGCGCCGCCATTGCCGCTCTGCCCTTTCCAGACTCCCACATGTTTGTGCTATACAGAGCGGACAAATTACAAGGAGCTGCCCGTGTGCGTCCCAGACCTGCTTCCCACGTTTGCGAAGCTTAAGACTCATACTCTCCTGCTCCATTGTTCCTCCCGTGCCCCTTCCAGAGTCTCGCACGCTCATGAGATACATCGCGGACAAGCACAAGGACCGGGGGCCAGTGCTCCTCAGACCTGCTCCCCATGTTTTAGAAGCACAGCGAGCAGACTCCCTCCCTCTCCACCGTTGTCCCTGCTGCCCGTTTCAGAGTCTCGCACGCTCATGAGATACATCGCTGACAAGCATAAGGACCGGGGGCCGAACCTCCTAGGAGAAATGCTCATGGTGGGTCGTGTTGTGTTGTGTGGCCTGCTGCTAGTGTTTGAGTGATTATTCTTGAGTCGATTCAAAAGTCACGCTCCTGAGATATGTAGCGGACAAGCATAAGGACCGGGGGCCGAACCTCCTAGGAGAAACGCTCATGGTAGGTCGTGTTGTGTTGTGTAGCCTGCTGCTTGCTTGTGAGGGTCTGAGATCAGATTACAAAAGTCACGCTCATGAGATACATAGCTGACAAGCATGACCGGGGCCCCAACCTCCTGGGAGAAACACTCGTGGTAGGCTTGGGTGTGTGGCACGTGAAGCATGGTTGCACGCTTGCCCCGGTTATGATTCTGGTTCTTGAGAGAGCGTTCAAGCCCCTTGTGCAAGCCCTCCATGATAGAAGTAGTGTTTTGAGGCGTCTCAAAACCCTGATTCTGGTTCTTGAGAGAGCGTTCAAGCCCCTTGTACAAACCCTCCGCAACAGCCAGCCACCTCCCCTTCTTCGTTCCCACGGTGATGATTCCGGTCAACGAGAGGAGAGGTGAACAAGAACTTTCTGGATCGCC